GCAATTTCTGTTCAACTACAGCCAACACAAGTGCAAGATTATGTTTTGACTTGATGAGTTTAAACAATCTTGTGTCACTTAATACAAATCTAGCAACAGACATTTTAATATACCTTGAGTACGTGAACATGGTGGACAAGCATCCTGACAGATAAAGCTAAATACATTTTGTTTTACTAACACAGTTCCCACAAGTACGCTGTAATCGTGTCTTTTCATACTCATCTCTGCAGATGACAGCTATGGCTACAGACTGCATTCATTCACCTCTTTGCCTTTCCCAGGGGCAATAACTAGATGGTCTATGTGCCAGATAGGAGCATTTAAGAGCTACAGATGTGAGACGCCTGTTGTCATATTTTGCTATGCCACGGACCCCTCAAGCAGGTATTTCAGATGACTGCCATACTGCAAATGCAAAAACCAGAATGACGTTTAAACAGCAACCAGTTAGAAATCCGAGGTCTCCAACGAACCGAATGTTGCAGTATCGAAGGGTGTTACTCTGAGCACAGCACCAACCACACTGTCGCTCCTAGAAGGGACTTGCATCCCTGATCTCAGAACTCCTATTAATGCTAAAGAAACAAGTTAAATTAGGATAGTAACACTTGCCTAGCTAGGACTAGGACAAGTATTACATTCACTCAATATGCTGAAACTTTTTAAGACCAGCAAATTAAAGGGAGGACGCTGTATTCTGTTACCATTTCCTTCAAGCAGTAAGGCCTTTTTGTAATACGTAATACTCTCTCTTCCACACTGAGCTGCCCTTCCCAGGAGATCCCCGAATCACTGTAAGCAGAGTTCTTTAACCAAATCAACTTCTTCACACATTGATGATTGTATCCTACTTGGGGGGTGGGGGTGAAAATCAAGCTAATTACCTGTAAGATGAGTCAAGACAGCTTGACAAAAAGGCATTTTTAAACCCTAAACTGCACACAGTCTATCAGAAATAAGAACTTCTCTTGCTATGTTGACAAGAACTGTAGTTAAGATTTGAAGAGGTTTAGGATCCACTGTATTACCTCTGAAAAGCAGAACTATTCAGATTTACAAGGAGCTTACTTTGTACCTTTTCTGTATACTCAAACCTCATAGTAGGTGTTAGTATAGCTGTTGTGGCTGTCCTCAGCATATTTAGGCACATTCCCAGGCATTGCAATGGGCGTACATAATAAAAGACTGAAGGAGAATGCCGTCATAACACTTCTGTAAGAGGGAATACCTGCTTGCTAGGAATTTGCTTCGCCACACATCACATTGTATAGACATGCGCTCTAACTGTTCAGACAACTGGGACATATTCCGCCCCAGGACTTCGTTTTCTAGGATTAGCTGATTTTTCTCACGAGCCATCCGTTCAAAGTGATACTCCAGATCGTCCCCAACAGAAGCAACAAGTAATTTCTTCAGCTCCCGATTCACCTAGGATTAGACCAGACTGTCTTGTAATTACCAACACAGAATGAAACACCTCCTACTTCCAGAATGCGGTGCAAGTTATTGCAAATACTTAACAGTAAATTGCCTTTCTCTTTCCAGAATGGGACAAATCCAATGCAGAGTATATTAAGCCTCACGATCCACTCCATTGAGCATAAACATTTGAGACTAATGCACGTTTAACACATTCTTGTTTAAATGCTAGCAGAGGCCAAAGAGGAAGAGTGAAAGCCGGCTACAAGAAACAAAGAATGTTTCCGTAGCATCTGAGTCCTGAATCAGTAAGATAACAAAGGATTAGACAAGATATCCACAGATTATATCATGTAGAAAATTTTAGTCACCCCTTCTGTGGCATAACATTTTTCACTTAGCAGTTGAGGAGCAAAATTTTTCCTCATGAAAGACCCATTTCCCTGCAGCCCTCCAATGTGTTTCTCCCAGCTTCAAGCCTTTGATACTTTCATCTGTTGTCAGAGAAGCAGCACTGGATTGCTCAGATGTACTTCTACTCTGTATCTTAGCTGGTAAGTTGAAAAGGGAAACTATCTGTTTCAAGGCTGGAGTGTCATAGCAGTTCTCTTCGGTCACATTCACAAACTGCTTATATAAACCAAAGCAGCTCAGCTGCGTGAGAGAAAATACCTTTCATTTCTTACCTCTGTCTGTATACGCAGCTGATTAGAGAGACCTTCTTTATCCTGTAACAACCGCTTTTCTGAATTCTTTAGCTTTTCGATTGCATTTTTCAGCTCTATCTGTTCTTTCTTGGGATCTGCAACTCCATCTGACTGATGGAACGTGTCTCCTTTATGTCCCACTGATTTAGCTACCTTAGCATTTTTAGTCGGAACAACATGGGTGATAGCTGCTTTAGGGACTAATATACGAATAGCTTCGACCTCCACTGATTTCTCAGTAGGTACTTTCCCCAGCTGCAGAACTCCAGGACTCAGGGAAGAGACTGTCTTTTTATGTGGGCTGTGGTGGGTGTGATGGTTTGTAGTGTTGGCTCCAGTGATTACTTCCACCGATTCAGCTGTCTGCTCTGTTTCCATGCCATCTCCGGGTCCTCGGACGGGCGATGAGGCATCATCAACTAAAATTTAGAAATAGCAGAGGGAAAGTTTACCACCTTTCACTCTGTTATAGTCCCATTGTAGCTCTTCACTTAATTTCTGTACTTCACAGTTACAGATTTTCATTGCACACTGCATGTGTAAAATAGTCCTTTGCAGCAGCAATTATAAAACACAAGTTAGAAAACTCCTCAAGTGTGTTGCTCATTAATACTAGTAGTACAAGACAGACATTGATTTGAATTGTATTAATCTTAATTTCCTGCTGCCATACAAGAGTAGATGCAGACATGAAAAAGAGCTAGTAAGCAGAAAATTCTTGTCAATATTACTCATAGGTTGAAAGCAAAATCAGGTTTTGGGAGCTGACAGAACCAGAGCAGTCTCATTTTAAAAGCAAGAATTAAATGAAAAGCAGCTATTTGCTACATAGCTAGTAACACCTTAAGAAGTTTAGCAGACTTTTAAGTACTACCTACCCTATGTTTTAGTTGTCCAAGTGAAGGCTTAAGAAAAGCCAACAAGCCAGTTCTGCTTCATTTCTAATCAACAGACCCCAGTATTCCCAGCAACGCTGCATGCTGCTCTGAATTCCCCAATATGCATGATAATGTTTACTGAAATTCATTTTATTTAGGTTCACTAAGTTTTCAGCTGAATGAAATGTTATTGTAGTAGTTTCCTCACAATGGGCAAAAGCAAGAAAGTTTCTTAGAACATAGCTACACACACTGCTTTTTTCCTCATACTGCGGGCAGTTAATGTGAGCCTGCATCCTCTATCCAAATAACGAATTTCAAAAATGCTGTAGTAGCACCATTATATTGCCCTGCTTTCAAGCTGGCTGAATCAGTACCAACAGGTTCTAAATACTAGAGGAGGACTGACAGACAAGCGTACAGACAGATGACAGTACCAGTGACAAACTTGTTTTTCAGTACAGAGCTGGATTACAAAACTACATTCAATTAACTGTTCCATCCAGGCAGCTCTGGTTTTCACCGCAGTAATGAAGTCACATAACTACTTCCCAATAGCTACATAAAAGGAATAAGTGTAAATGAATGGAGCCTGGCATACAGTATAACTCCGGTCTTTAGAATTCAAGTTAAAGTACTTTTAATCCAGTCTGTTTAGACATCATGCAAACCACCTACCTTTTTCTAGAGATGTCATTTTCTCTTTAGCAGTCAGCTCTTCCTAACCACGTAAGTCTGAGGATGAAATGAGGCGGAGGGGGGAAATCTTTAGCAAGGTAACAATGACAGTTAATCTTGGATTACCCTATTTTCTAGTACAACCCCTAAACTCCAGTTCAGCAGCACGGTGAAAAAAAAAAAACCACACCAAACCAAAGGAAAAAACCCAAAATGATAAAAAACACACCAGGACCCAAAGAATTCAAAGGAAAAGGCCTATAAAACTTCTGCCACTTGTTTCTTTTTTCACTAAGATCTGGACTTCAACTCCTATTTCTTGCTCCTCATCCAGTTCCAGTTCCCATTCCTCAAATTTCTCTTCCCAGCCTCCCTCCTGTTTTCAGTGGGCCTTCATCTTACCCTTTAAAACTCTGGAACACTCCCAGAGTACAACTGCATGACCACGCACAGATAACCTCAGATCATCACAGACCCACAAGTAAGGGAAATCCCACACTGTGCTTACCGCAGACCAAGAGGTGAGGAGGAACCGATGGCAATTTTTTTACAACTTTTTTTAACAGAGCCAATTCCCAGCCGAAAGCAGGAGTCAGTGCCCTGAGTGGCTGCACATGCTCGGTTTAAGCCAACAGTAAAACTTCATCCCCAGTTTGGCCCAAACTGCCATCCTGGCCATTCTCTCCCTTATTCATGAGCTCTGTTGACCACTGCCTCCTTTACCCACAGGACCATCCACTCCCAATGCCCCAGGCCTCCCTTTTCTAGGGTCTGCCACTAACTACAATAGTTTGAGATTGCTATATCCCGTTGGGTTTTTTGTTTGTTTTCTTTTGCAATGACTAGAAGACAAAAGAAATGACTTTCCCTCCTTGTGTTTTCTCAAACTACAGATACAGGAACATCTTGCTATCTGTTGCTTCTACAGCTGGAGGTAGGTTTTTCCTCATTTAAGACCATGATGTGCTAATCACCACTACTGTTCATTCATTTTGGATTGAGGATCTCTACTCATTTGAGGAGAACAAGGAGGAGGAAAACATAGCTGCTCAGATAGAGGCAAGAATGCTCAATAAAAAAAATTGATTATGAGAATTTGGTCTTATCTCCTTCATCTGAGCCCACCTACTGGTGATCCTGCTCCTTCACTGTTCATGTTATAATACAGCTCTTACCGTCCTGTTACTCTCAAAGCCTCAATGTAAGCCTCTGCACCCCCCCTTTTATTACATCCCTATAGGCAAAACTCCTCCACTGGTTGAATCGTTAACCACTGCCCCCCTCGGCTAACGTCGTGCCCTGCAGAACCCCACACATGACGAACAAGGCAAGGAAATCCTGCACTAACGCGGCTGAGTCACGATCCACGAAGGCCTCGGAAAAGCCCCACCACCCCAGCCCCCGCCGCGCCTCGGCTACCCGGGGCGAGGAGCTGCGCCCTCTCACCTCAGCCCCGCCGCCTGGCGGTAAGCCAAAGCTGGGC